AAAAAAATCACATCCTAGAGCAACTACTGAGGAAAGTCAAGAAAGAAAGTGCAAAAGTAGGCTTAGAGCAGAACATAAAGAAAACGAAAACAATGACCACAGAAGATATCCATAAATTCAACCCCAGCCCAACAACTTCCTGACACCACACGCTGTTACACACAGTGTGCAGCATGGGAACATCCTCTCGGTGCACCATCCTGATGCGCTGTGCCAGAAGGGGCGAGAAAGAGCTGCATGCTGGCTCTTAGGGCACCCTTTTGCCACCCTTGAAAGGAACAGCATTTTGCAGCGAAAGGGAGTATTGGGGCCGTGGCATGTGGTAGCCACAGCCTTGATCCTCCACTTCCCGGGGCAGCCTAGAGCCTCCTGTCTGCAGCTCCCCTAAGCATGAAAGTCAGATTCGTATGAGCAATTGTGTTTATCATTGCCATGTATGGATGCAAGAACTGACAATTAAGAAAATAGAATAAAATAAAATAAATTCTTTTGATATGTGGTTCTGGAGAAGTGTGCGAAGGATACTGTGGATAGCCAAAATGACAAACAAATGGGTCATAGAGCAGATTAAACCAGAAACCTCCCTGGAAGCCAAGATGATCAAACTGTCATATTTCAGACACATCATGACACATCCACACTCTTTGGAAAAAACAATAATGCTGGAGAAGGTGGAGAGAAGTAGGAAGAGAGGAAGGCCACCTGCTAGATGGATGTACTCTATTAAGGAGGTCACCAGTATGGGGTTGCAGGAATTAAGTGGAGCAGTGGAGGACAGAGGGCCTTGGAGATTTCTCATCCATCAGGGAGGCCATGGGCATGAATTTGCAAGAACTGGGGACAGTAGTGGAGGATGTGGAGTTTTGGAGGTGTCTAATCCACAGGGCAGCCATAAGTTGAAAATGACTCAAGAGCAGTTAACAAGAACAAAGCTATAAACACACTCCTTAGTATGTTGTGGGATAAATACTTGGCATAGCCAATCTTAGATAAAGATTGGTCTATTTCTGTGTAAGGAATAAAGTCAGAAGCTACACTTCTTGGTAACATAAACTAGTGTAACCCCAATTATGCCAATGTATATATTTTGGGGGACATTGCAGAAAGAGGCATCCTGTAATTACTTGCACAACACCATTCATCCTGGATTTATATCAGCAATCAGAGGTTGCAGATCTGTTTTCCACAACTACTAATTGGATGCAGGGAGGGAACTGGGCATAATTTGGCTGTCTTCACACAACCAGGAGGAAAAAAGGAAACTTGTGCTGTGAGTGGAGACTGCTCAATTGGTGTTCAATGGCAGCTAGAGTTCACCCAGCTGCACACCTAGTCATTTATGTACTTCTTGAAATCAAAGATAATAAGGAAAATGGAGGAAAGGAAAAGTGCAAGAGCTCAGCCCCCTGATGCCATGTAATAAGTTCTCTGGAATGAGAAAATTAGAATCAAGAATGGGTGCCTTTCCTATCACCAGAACAATATGCTACCACCATCCTGCTTTATGGTTGCAAAATAATCTGGTTTGGAGCTGGCAGATATTTACTATTTATTTGATTCTTTAATACTCCTCCTTTCACCCAATATAGGACCCACAGCAGCTTACAACAACTTAAAACTAGTCGCAGCTAATAAAAATTGATAAAAATGTTTGTTTAAAAGCCAAGTACAATTAAACAACTTATCGCATCAAAGCACCCTAATTTAAACAGTATAAAAGCATGTTAAAACACAATAAATTGAATATTACATACAGTGCCTGGCAGAAGTATTCACAATCCCTTTTGTCTTGTCCACATTTTCTTGTTTCAAAACCTGCAATTGAAATGGATTGAACTGAATTATTATTTGATGTACACAAGATACTCCTCTTTGGAACACAGAAATACTGTTGTGTGCCATTGTTTGCAGCTCACAATGTCAGAAGCCCTCCCAATGAAACTCTCCAACTAATCTTCTCTCTGCTATAGTTTCCCCTAACCCCAACAAAATGACATTTTTCATCTCGTTGCAGCAGAGATGCATCCAGCTATTTTCCTTTAGCTGAATCCACTGCAAGAGGCCAGGGTTTCTTGGGAGGTCCCTAATGATGATGGTATTGCTTTCTTGCAGAGGCTGCAGCACAGAAAAGGTGGCCTTTTTTTTTTTTGGAAGTGAGAAGTTGTTCATTGTATGGTTAGAACAGAATTCCAATTTCTACAATGACCAAAAAAAGTGGTGTGTGTGTGTGTGCATTGTATGCCTTTAAGTCATTTCCAATTCATGCAATCCTATCAAAGGGTTTTCTTGGTAAGTTTCTTTAGAAAGGGTTTTCCATTGCCATCCTCTAAGGATGAGACACTTTGACTTGGCCAAGGTCACTGAATAGGTTTTCATGGCTGAACCAGGACTTGAAACCTGGTCTCCAGAGTCCTAGTCCAATGCTCAAGCCACTACACCATCCTGACTAACAGGATGCCATCCCTTGTTGAAAATGTCCAAACCATAACACTATTCTCACAGAAAACAGTATAAAAAAGTAAAACCAAGAACAATACAAATATTGTATTTGTATTGATTTTGCCCAACATTTCAGTAAATCCACAGGTAGCTGTGAAAGTCCTTGAATGAATAGCTGCAAAGCATGTGAAAACATCAGACAGATTGACAAAAAGAGAAGGAATTATTAATGAAACTGCAGTCAATAGATGAGGTGTCTGATAAATTTGTCTGCTGTCAAAGTACAATGCCAACAACATCAAATTCAGTCTTTCTGAAGAGTTTTTTTTTTTTTGTTAAAAATGTTCTTGTTCTTTATTTCCCACACTTTCAGTTTCTAAGCTGTCTAAGAGAGAGCTTCACAGGAAGTTTTAAAAGACTTCTTTTTCACACATCACTGTATTGACAACTAAACAGACTATTGTATATATGGCTTTCATTTTACTTCATGCGTGTGTAGATGTGTCTTCAAGGCATTCGTTGACAATATTTGTTTTCAAATGTCCAGACTACTGCACAAACTTTATAAGAGTAATTCAAGGTTACAGAATTTTCAGACTACTGCAATATTGTGCTATTTGGGTAACTTCTAGGCATGCATAGCTGTTTTTTTGCTTTGTTTTTTGTGTTGAGTAGTAACCATTGTGTCCTCCCTCCTTTAGTCCTTCCCCATCCCCACCCCTTCCCTCCTTTAATTTCTGCACTTCTTTCTCTGTGGTTGGGGGAGGGCAGGGATGGCTAGTAAACCCAGGGAGGCATAAGAGGATGGGTAGGAAAGTAAAGACAATGAGAGTAATAATATAGAGAGACAAACAGCTACTGGACAACAGCAGTTGTGGTGGGTGTCACAGACAGGAGTGAATTGTAGTGACACCATAGCTAACATTGGTTGGCACTGTGCACAAAGAGGTGTAGGTCCTCCTTCTGTAACTCCATCACTAGTAAAATCTATGATGAGACACCCAAAGTGAGAAACAGGCAGGATCAGAGCATTAACATAAAGGGAAGGAAAGGGAGATAAAGGGATATCACATTTGCAAGATTAGCCAAGGGCACAAGGAAGATGCTAAGAGAAATAGCAGACACCCTTAGGAAGGCAAATTGCATCCAAAACAGTATTACACATAAAATTGGGATGTGGAATGTGAGGAGCATGAGCTAAGGGAAGCTGGACATAGTAAAAATGGAACACATGAACATAGCAGTACTGGGGTTGAATGAGTTGAAATGGACAGGAATGGCCACTTTGAATCAAACAACCACACAGTGTTTTACTCAGGCAATGAAAAGAGAAGAAGAAACAGCTTTCATACTAAGAAAAGATGTGGCAAAAACAGTCATTGGATACAATGCAAAATCAGACCAAATCATTTCAGTAAGACTCCATGGTAAACCTATGAATATCACCATAATCCGAGTATATGCACCAACCACAAAGGGAGAACAGGAAGACATTGATAGATTCTATGAAGGAGCACAGGAAGAGGTTAACAGCACATCAACACAGGATGTCAAGCTGATCATTGGAGATTGGTACACAAAAGTTGGAAGCAAAGAATTAAAAAAAAGTAGGTAGATTTGGATTAGGCAAAAGAAATGAAGCAGGTGAGCATCTGATAAATTTTTGTGAAGCCAACAACCAATTTATTGTAAAAACATTTTGATACAACCAGAAAGAAGGCCACACACATGGACATCACCAGATGGTCAACACAACAATCAAATAGATTATATAATTGGAAGTAAAAGATGGCAGAACTCTATACTGGTGGCCAACACTAGATCAGGTGCTGACTGTGGCATAGATCATGAATTAGTCATAACAAAAATAAGAGTAAGACTCAAGAAGAAAACAAAATCAGTGATTATACCAAAATATGATCTAAATAATATCTCAACAGAATGTACTGATAACATAAGAAACAGATTCGCACTACTAAGCATAATAGACCAAGAACCAGAGGAACTATGACCTGAAGCCAGGGACATAATAAAAGAAAAATGTAGACAGACACTTTTAATAAACAAAAATAAAGAGAAAAAAACATGGATAACAGAATAAAGAAAACACTACAAGCAATAAAGAAAAGAAGAAAATAAAATCAAGAGGGAGATAGGAACAAACTAAGAATTATGAATGCAACAGTACAATGGCTTGTGCAGAAAGATAAAGAAAATTACTACTACAACCAATGCAGAGAAATAGAAGACAACAACAAAAAGGGGAGAACATGAGATCTAGTTCACAAGATCTGGGAAATCAAAGGAAAATTCAAACCAAGGACTGGGATGATCTATGACAATAAAAACAACATAATTCAAGACCAGGAAGGAATACAAAGATGTTGGATGCAATACACAGAAGAATTATGTAAAAGAGATGACAAAATGAATGACACATGGAATGAAGAGCCATATGAAGATGAACCCCCAAATCCTAAAAAGTGAGGTGGAAACTGCAATAAGAGAAATGGTGAAAAATAAATCACCAGGAACAGATGATATTCCAATTGAACTGCTGCAATCCACATTGACAGAGTCAACTCTAGTGTTAACCAACATATGTCAACAGATATAGAAAACAAAACGATGGCCAACAGATTGGAAGTGATCAATATACATCCCCATCCACAAAAAGGGAAATACAAGAGACAGCAGCAACTATAGAACCATAGCACTGATCTCCCATGCAAGCAAAATCATGCTCAAAATTCTACAACATAGACTCCAATCATACATGGAATGAGAGATCCCAGAGGTCCAAGCAAGGTTCAAGAAAGGAAGAGGCACTAGGGATCACATTGCAAAAATATGATGGCTAATGGAGCACACCAGGGAATTCCAGAAGAAAATCAACATGTGCTTCATAGACCAAAGCAAAGCCTTTGACTGAATAGACCATGAAAGGCTATGGAATGTCATTAAAGATATGGGAGTGCCAACACACCTGATAGTCCTGATGAGGAATCTTTACTCAGCAAAAGAGACAACTGTCAGAACAGAACACAGAGAAACAGAATGGTTCCCCATTGGCAAAGGAGTCAGGCAAGGCTGCATTCTTTCACCATATCTGTTCAACTTGTATGTAGAACATATTATAAGAAAAAAAGGCTTGGACATAGAAGAAGGAGGGGTGAAAATAGGAGGAAGGAATATCAACAATCTAAGATATGCAGATGACACCATAATACTAGCAGAAAACCTCACAGACCTGGAACACCAACTAAGGAAGAGCAAAAAAAAAAAAAAGTGCAAAGGCAGGCTTAATTTTGAAGATAAAGAAAACAAAAATAATGAGCACTGAGGATCTTCACAAGTTCAACCTAGACAATGAAGAAATTGAAATAGGAAAAGAATTCCCGTACCTAGGATCAAATATTGATAGAAATGGGGACTGCAACTGGGAAATCAGAAGAAGACTAAGAATGGGGAAGGTGGCTATGAAAGAACTAGAAATGATCCTAAAATGCAAAGACATACAACTCAGCACAAAAGTCAGAATCATAGAAGCCATTCTGTTCCTTATTACTATGTATGGATGTGAGAGCTGGACAATCAAGAAAGAAGATAGAAGGAAAATCAATGCATTTGAGATGTGGTGCTGGAGAAGAGTGAGATCATGGACAGCCAAAAAGACAAACATGTGGGTCCTAGAGCAGATCAAACCAGAAACCTCCCTGAAAGCCAAGATGACCAAACTGAGACTGTCTAACTTCAGCCATATCATGAGAAGAGGGGACTCTTTGGGAAAAATAAACATAGTGCTGGGGAAGGTGGAGGGAAATAGGAAGAGAGGAAGGCCACATGCTACATGAATGAACTCTATTCAGGAGGTTGCAGGTATGGGTTTGCTGGATTTAAGCAGAGCAGTGGAGGACAGGGGGTCTTGGAGATGTCTCATCCATAGGGTGGCCATGAATAAAGATTGACTCGAGGGTAGTTAACAACAAAGTAGCCACTGGTGTCTCGATGTCTACAGAGCAGTGAATCTGTTGTTGGTTTTAGGCAGAACTTTAAAGGAGACAGTACAGATGCTGAAACTATACTTTTTGTTAAAACCAGTGAGGATTCCATGCTCAGGGACATAGACTCCACAAGCTTCCCAGACTGTGGAATGGCCTGCTAGACGAGATCCGTCTCATTACCACTCTTGCTGCCTTTAAAAAGGCAGTAAAGATGGACCTTTTCCGACTGGCCTTCCCGGAACAACTGCCCAGCTAAATGGAGGCGATCTACCATTTATCCCCTTTGCTGCCATGGCATGTCACCCAATACTGTTTTTATAGTATTTTAATTATGTTGCTTGATTTTAATTCTAATGTAGTTTAATTCTGTTTTAAGGGGTGGGAGGGTTAGGGTGTGGGATAAAGGTGTTTTAACTGTTGTTGTTTTTAAATTTTGCTGTACGCCACCCCGATTGCTGAGCAGAAGGGTGGATACAAATAAATGATGATGATGATGATGATGATGATGATGATGATGTCTTTCCTTTATGATCATTAGCTGCAAGGGGGTTTCATCAGGGAAAATAAAAATCGGAGCTGAGAAAAACCACATTGATGAGGGGTCTCTGAGAAGTGGAGAGTAAAAATGTAAAGCTCTTCTTTTGTAAACTACAGTAGTCCTTGGCATGGGGTTTGGTTTCAGGACACCTTATCGATATCAAAATCCATGGATGTTCAAGTCCCATTATATACAATGTTGTAGTAAAATGGGATCTCTTATATATAAAATCATAAACCTATTTTTGGATTTTGGATTTTGCTTTTTGGATTCTTTAAAAAATATATTTTCAAGTCATGGATAGTTGAATCTGGAGATGCAGAATCCAAGGATATGGATGATTGGCTAATGGGAAAAAAATGATGCTTATGTCATTGTAGTAAAATCTCTGGAGGGGAGATCCACACATCCTAGCAGATAGATCTGTCAGGTGGAAAAGATATCCAAAACATTTAAAGATTTCTTT